ACATGCATAACAATCGGATTTTTTTTTTTTTTGTAAAATGTTCAGTGTCTAACACTTGTTTCAATGTCTAAAACTTGGCTTTTTCTCAAATAATGCTTTACATGTTGACTTCTACTTTGCCTGATATTAAATATTTCCAAGCGTGAAAGAAAGGGGGGGGAAAACAGGTGATTACCCCTAGAAATATGAGTTCACCTTAAATTATGCTGAAGAGCTAGGCAGAATAATTATTTCTTTAATGAGATATATCTTCCTTTCCCAAAATTTCAGGCCTCCTGTGCAGTAGCTTGCTGGATCACAGCATGCTGCTTTGTAAGTCAGCCCATTTTTTTTTAATTACTCAGAAAAGCATTAATATTTCTTTTTTTTTTTTTTCAGAACAAAACAACAGCTTACAGACTGTGAAAGGATCTTCACTAACCCTGTATCTGACAGAAGGCTAATATCCAGAATATATAAAGAACTCAAGAAGTTAAAGAAACAACAAATCAAGTAATCCAATTAAAAAATGGGGTACAGAGCTAAACAGAGATTTCTCAATAGAGGAATAGTGAATGGCTGAGAAATGCTTAAAGAAATCCTCAGCGTCTTTAGTCATCAGGGAAATGCAAATCAAAATGACCCTGAGGTTTCATCCTACACCTATCAGAATGGCTAAGATCAAAAACTCAAGTGATAATACATGCTGGAGAGAATGTGGAGAAAGGGAATCCCTTCTCCATTGCTGGTGGGAACGTAACTTGTACAACCACTTTGGAAATCAATCTGGTGCTTTCACAGACAATTAGGAATAATGCTAACTCAAGATCCAGCCATATCATTCCTAGGCATATATCTAAAATATGCTCAACCATATAACAAGGACACTTGCTCAACCATGTTTATAGCAGCTTTATTCATAATGGCCTGAATCTGGAAACAATCCAGATGTCCCTCAATTGAGGGATACAGAAATTTTGGTGCATTTACACAATGGAATACCACTCAGCAACTAAAAACAATAAACTGATGAAATCTGCAGGTAAATGGTGGGAACTAGAAAAGACCATCCTGAGTGAGGTATCCTAGAAACAGAAAGACACATATATAATCACTTGTAAGTGGATACTAAATCTATAATATAGGATAAACATACTAAAATCTGTACAGCTAAAGAAGCTAAGCAAGAAGGAGATCCCTAGGTAAGATGCTCAATCTTCATTCAGAAAGGCAAAGAGGATGGATATTGGAAGAGGAAGAAAACAGGGAACAGGACAGGAGACTACCACAGAGGGCCTCTGAAAGAATCTACCCAGCAAGGTATTAAAGCAGATACTGAGACTCACAGCCAAACTTTGGGGAGAGTGTGGGGAATCTTATGAAAGAAGAGGAGGGAGAAAGACCTGGAGAGGATTGGAGTGCCACAAGGAGAGCAACAGATCCAAAACATCTGGGCACAAGGGTCTTTTCTGAGACTGATACTTCAACCAAGGACCATGTAACCTTGAACTCTTGTGCAGAAGTCGCCCATAGCAGCTCAGTCTCCAAGTGGGTTCCCTAGTAAGGAGAAGAGGGACTGTCTCTGACATGAACTCAGTGGCTGGCTCTTTGGTCACCTCCCCCTGAGTAGTGCGAGGGGAGGCAGCCTTACCAGGAAGACAGTGCACACATTCCTGATGAGACCTGATAGGCTAGGGTCAGATGGAAGGGGAGGAGGACCTCCCCTATCAGTGGACTAGGGGAAGGGAATGGGAGGAGAAGAGGGTGGGAAGGCAGGACAGGAAAAGGACCAGGGAGGGGGTACAGCTATGATACAAAGTAAATAAATTATAATAAATAAAAATTTTTAAAATTTTCTTTTTCTTTTTTTTTTTTTCTAAGTGTTCTTACTCCAATGGTGTGGGCTTTCCTAATACCTTAGAAATACTTATTGTTTTTCTAATGACCTCTCCTCTACATGGCGTGCCTCCTTGTCAGTAACTCAAATGCCAGGTTTTATTCCTTCATTACATTCCTTCTTTACATTCTCCTCCACCAGGTAGGCAGCTGTTGCTATTGATAGCTTGCCTTCAGCTTATGTTCAACAATTAAACGCTAATAAAATTGGCCTTCAAGTTAAACAAAAAAAGACCTATACTTTTAAAAATGTAATATAGGCACATTTTTGCCTATCTGATCATAAGACAGACTTAGATAGCTATCAAAGAAAGATTAGAAAGTAGCACAAAACTATAAACATGGTTATATTTATTATGAATTCTAATTATGAACCATTTCAGAGGATTTCAGGGAAGTTGTTTTTCACGTTCAAGGCAATGAATAGAAGAAAACTGATTATTTCTTTGGTAAAAATATGTAAAAGAGTGCTGTATCTTAAAACAGAATTCTTTTAAGATATAGAAATTTTTTTATGAATATCAGCTTTAATATTATAAATCATCCAAACAAAATCATAAGAAACAACATGTTGAGAAAGCATAGAAAATATAATCATATGAAAGAAGGGAAGTTAGTATGATATGGAAAGGATAGGAGCTCTACAAGGACCAAATATATCCGGGCACAGGGTCTTTTCTGAGACTGACACTCAACCAAGGACCATCTATGGATATAACCTAGAACTTCTGCTCGGATGTGCCCCGTGGTAGCTCAGTAACCAAGTAGTTTTCCAAAGTAAGGGGAACACGGACTATTTCTAACAGGATCTCAAGGGCAGGCTGTTTGACAACCCCCCCCCCCCAGGGGAGGAGCAGTCTGTTAGGCCACAGAGGAGGACTTTGCAGCCAGCCCTGAAGATACCTGATAAAACAGGGTCAAATGAAAGGGGAGGAGGTCCTCCCCTATCAGTGGACTTGGAAAGGGGCAGGGAGGAGACCAGGGAGGGAGTGCGGGGTTGGGGAGGGAATGAGGGAGCGGGATACAGCTGGGACACAGAGTTAACAAAATGTAACTAAAAAGAAAAATAAAATTAAAAAAAAAATAGTCCATATGGAAAATGTTAAGTGAGAAAATGGCTGTGCTCTAGGCTACAATATTTATCTCTTGGAGCGCTTCTAATAAAGGGATGGAGAACTGAAAAAAAAAAAAAAGAAAAGAAAATATAACTATAATACATTTGTGAAATGAGATAAATTTCAAAACTAGCGTGGTCTCCATATAAAGTTCCTTCTTGATAATCAAGAAAGCAGACATGGGGTATGATGATCAATCCTCATTTAGAAAGACAAATGGGATATGCATTGAACGTATGACAGGAGTCTACCGCAGAAAGCATCTGAAAGACTCTACCTAGCAGTGTTCCAAAGTAGATACTAAGACTCATAACCAAACCCTCGGCAGAGTGCAGGAAATCATATGAAAGAAGGGGAGTTTGATGTGGAAAGGATAAGAGCTCCACAAGGACCAAATATATCTGGGCACAGGGTCTTTTCTGAGATGGACACTCAGCCAAAGACCATGAGAGGATAAAACCTAGAACCTCTGCTTGGATGTGACCCGTGATAGCTCAGTAATCAATTGGTTTCCCATAGTAAGGGGAGCAAGGACTATTTCTAACAGGAACTCAATGACTGGCTCTTTGACCTCCCCACCTCCCAAGGGAGGAGCAGTACTGTTAGGCCACAGAGGAGGATTTTGCAGCCAGTCCTGAAAATACCTGACAAAACGGGAGTCATATGAAAGGGGAGGAGGTTCTCCCCTATCAGTGGACTTGGAAAGGGGCAGGGAGGAGATGGGGGAGGGAGGGTGGGATTGCAGAGGGAATGAGGGATATAGCTGGGATACAGAATTAACAAAATGTAACTAATGAGAAAAATAAAATTTAAAAAAAAATTAAAAAAAACTGCCAAAAAGTTTTAAAAAAATAAAGTTCCTTCTTGTCTACAGAATTCCAAATTGCATTGAGTAAGCATATTTTTGATGAGATGTTTTGTATTGCTTACAAAATACCCAATAGATCTTTTGATACCATATAGCCACCTCATGAACTTGCTTTTTAAATGCTCTAAAAATTAAATGACATAAGAAAAAAAATTACATAAGCTCCTTTGGGTATGTTTCAACATTGTATTTTCCTTCAAGAAAAAAATTACTGGGCATTTGCTATCCACCTGATATAAGAAATAGAAATAAACAGGTATTGATTCTGAAAATGACCATGTGGTAAAGACAGAGAAATAAAATACCTAATCAGGATATTCAGTAATTTTCTATTTTTGAGAACAAGAAAAAATAGAATCTAAATTAGTTGAATTCTATTTTCATCTTAATCTAACAGTGTTATTGAGGTTGGATATTTTTCCACTGACACCATCAATGGCTGAAATATGTGCTCAAAATTCACATCTTAGGTTTTATAACAGAACTCAGACTTGGCTATGAATAAAATTAGCTTACACTTGTAAGCAGGACACAGGGTTGTCCTTAAAATACAAGATGATTAAGGAATTGTTACATGACTCAGAATTTCCTAAATGTCCAAATTTAAAATTTCATTCACAGTAGACACACACACATACTGACACACACACAAACACACACACAAGGAAGGGGGTTCAACATTACTATTTATGTTGTGCTAAATGTCCTGAATAATAAACATCAAAAACAATTTTCTAAGAATTGGAAAAATTTTAAGAAACTATAGAGCATTTATTCCTTAGCTTAAAATATGTTTTCACTAAATTCCAGGAAAAAGTCATTTTGCTCACTGTTCTTCTTTACATCGTGCAGATATTACTCATTAATTATTACTCATTAATTATTTTGAGATGGGTGCAAACAGATAAAAGTATCCATGATGCTCTAATGAAAGAAATTTGCATGCAAGCATTTGCTAACGAACATAAGCATTTAGTTAGGATGAAGTCCTGAAGTCTGTTCTCATGACAGGATGAATCTATTAGTGAAGCTAAGTGTTTGCAGGCCTTTTTCATTTCCAAATATTTTGTTAATGCCGGAAACAAGACAATCTCTGGCTTGTAAAAGAGAACAAACCTCCCTAAAACATCTGGCATACTTACACACTTTTCGCTGTCAAACACATAACACAAATGTTTATTTGACTCAGAATCTTTGCATATGAAAGTGAATATCCTCTTGTCAGTTTTATCATCTGCGCAAAATGATATTCTATGAAGTTGGCAGTTATGTTGGATTTCCTGTGAACACAAATGGAAATACATATAATTGATTATATTTTCTTCCACATTCTAAAGTGTCAGCCATGTTAATAATGCATCTTACAGTTTTTAAAGTATAGCACGCATCTGTCAATGCTCTTATGATTTCATTATGCCCCAAATTTAAACAAATACATCAGTGGATGTGAAACCTCTGACTCAAGGTTGAATTAAGATGCTCACTGAAATAGCACACACGCTACCACATGCTGAATACAAGAGGAACAGAGTTTCTAAGCTACAACGACCCGTAACATACAAAACCCACATATTCTTTAAACTGTGAACATTTATGTGAGAGAATATTGAGACGCAAAAGATCACAACATCTCCACAAGCTTATAGGAAAAGACCAAATTCTTCCAAACTCTTTGCATTTTGTGACACTGGCAGTAACAAACATTGTATGTAGTCTAGAAGAGAATCACTTCTTCACAAGTTCCACAAGCCCCAATAACAACCAGCTATAGTTTCCCCATTAAATATCAGGTCTTTTGTTTATGCATTCACTCTTGAGCTTTCTATCCAGGCAGGTCTTCCTGGAATTTTGGTAGTATAGGGTTAATAACACAATAGCCTGCAGATGATTGAATGAGTGCTTCCAATAGGTAAAAAGATAAATACTAAACCAGAAAGGTACAGCTGCAGCATGTGTGTGCGTTCATGCATGTACACACACACACACACACACACACATACACCACACCACTGAATTATGAAACTTAGAATCATCATCACTATTACATATTTATCTTCATAGTTTTGTGAAACACATTGCAGTTGGAAAAATCTTACGTTTTACTTAATTATGACTGATGAAAAAAATACAATCAATACGAGTCATTTATTTCAAAGCACATTACAACACAGAATATTAGTAAGAAACTCTGGTCATCCATAGTATTTAGTGGGTGTTGTGAAAGGTTAGAGATGGAAGTGATTATAGTTTCATCTAAAGCTGACTAGGTGACTGTCTTACCAATTTTAAACATGATAGTGTCCGCTATAAACATACTACAATATGGTTTATGAATCAAAACATTCATTCATTCAAGAGACTATCATCAAAATAAGAAACAAGGATGCCAAGAGTCTTTTCGCACTTTGCATGCGTGCTTGCTTTAATTTATTCCATCATTCTTATTTCTATTGTGTTCATCAGATTGAAAATAAGAACTTAGATGTCATAGATCATAAATGCTAAGACATTAGTCTATACCAATGCAATATCCCCAGAGGTTGGCTTAATGACAAGTAATGACACTTGTTTGATGAGCTTAACTATTAAATGAGAGGGATACTGCATGACTAGTCTATTTTAACATTCCTATCTATCTACTTCTATAGGGGAGAGGGATATTGCTAGAGAGACTACTATGTAGGCTCTTTAAACCAGTGAACTCTTAACTGTAAAGAATAATTGGCTCAATTGTGACATTCCATATATGCATGCAATCTATTTTAATCATTTCTAGCCCTTTTTCCATCTTAAGTTCTACTAACTCATTTTCTCTTCTCTGAAAAGTCTCCCTGCTATTTTAATAGTCTTGTTTTTGTCAATAGGCTATTAATGAAAGCATCTTCTCTTTTTTGACCTTAATGTTTAGATAAATAATGACAGTGTATGTCTCAGGTCTTTCCTCTATTTTCCCCTGAGAGTACAATCATTTTTAACATTGATACCTATTTTTTAATACAAATAGTCAATCAAATAACAGCCCTGAGCCATGCTGCAGTTTCTGAACACTGATAGCTAGTATATGTCAATAAAATCATGTTTGTGATACATAAGGAGAAACTATCACTATACAATTCAGAAAATGACTTATTATTTCTTTGTACTTATAGGACAAATTGTAAAAAAAAATGCAAAACATAATTTCTATAGCTAGTGGTAGAATATGCTGCCTTTCATTTGCCCAACAACCAGTACAGTGACAGAAGGTGTTTGGTAGTAATCAGTTTGGAATTATCTTAATATCTGTTTATGTTGGTACACCCCAGGAAACGTGCCTATGGGTATATCAGTACATGATTACATTGATTACATTAATTGTAATCAATTAACTTGTTAGTTGTGTGTGTGACCATTCCTTGGGCAGGACATTTATCCATGAATAAAGTAGGGGAGAAAGTTGAGCAGTAACATGCCTTTATCACTGTCTGCTGTCTGAGACTATGCTGTCACTGGATGTGCCAAGACCCTTCATGATGCTTTGCCAGCCCCAGCACCACAGACTGTAACAGGTACTGTGAGGTAAAACTCTTCCATATACTGCTTTTGTTGTAGTATTTTACCACAACAATAAAAATAAATAAATTAAGGTAGTTAGTGAAGTAATTTTCTTAGGAAAGGTATCACATTCCATTGTGATACTTTTTTGTTTCTTTTGCTATGACTTTGTTTTGGGTACTGGGGATTGAACTCAGAGCCTCTTGTATGTCTTTTTTTTTTCTTTATAGAGTTAGACAGTCCACCTTGTAATAAAATTCATGGCTATTAAGCGTAGAATTAATTTGGTAAGATGTGATAAAGAGATTAGGAAATAAAACATACAGTGAAGAAATACATATTTTATTATCAATACCTTTTCATTACAGCTAAAATAAAAACATGCTTCCTTCTGTGACCCTTGTTTCCAGAACTGCACATTCTCCATTTGGAGAACAACTAAAAGAAGCAACAGTGAGAAAAGCATAGGGGCTAATTGCTACAGAGACTGCATTTATTTTACCACTCAACCGGGAAAGAAACATAGTTCGTGTAATGAAAGGCCATTCTAGATTAGTAATGTATTTAAAATCCTACCTTATACACGTATCTCTATCTATAAGTAAATTTAAGGGCTTCATGTTATTTGGCTTTTTTCATGAATTCCAATTTAAATAAAGTGTTTTTATTATTAGATTCATTTATCTCTCTTGGTGGAATGGTTTCTAAATTTATGTGTCAGTCAGTGTTTCCTGTGAAATATACTCCCTCCCTCCTCTCCTTTTTCTCTCACACAGACCACATGAGTGACTTCTCCTGAGACCTGAGTACTCTGAGACACTCAGAGGAACAAGAAGAATCCAGACATCAACATGCTGACAGTGTACTGGGGACAAGGACTGATGTTTAACAGAGCTTGTAACTCCCTATTTTAGTGGCTTTTATTTTTTCAATGGGAAGAAAAGATAACACTTTCTGTGTGTGCACTTATTCAGGTCTTTCAGTAGTGCACACAGTCAGTCTTGACATGTTCCTACAAAGCACTGGAGTTAAGTATCAGTTGTTCTATTGTCAGATGTAGTGAAATTGGATTACAAGATATCAGAGGGGCTGGAGAGATGGCTCAGCAGTTAAGAGTGGGGCTGCTCTTCCACAGGTCCTGAGTTCAATTCCCAGAAACCACTTCACAACAATATATATTCGGATCTAATGCCCTCTTCTGTCTGATGCCCTCATCTGTCTTACAGGCATACATGCAAATATAGCAGTCATATGCGTAAATAAATAAACCTTTAAAAGATGTCAGTGATTTTCAAAATACGAAAGTTGTTTGTCACATTGGAGAGGGATATGATAAATGTGTTTCTTTCTAATGAGCTTATAAAACTTACTTTTGAGGAGATCATACAATAGGCCCTTTGTAAGAATAGCTGTTAAATATAGGAAGTTGAAGGTCTGGGACAACGAAGGACACTGGTATCACTGGTCTGAGTAAGACTGTCTATAGCAATCAAAAGTTAATTCACTAATGTTCCGACAAACTCTGTTGCACTAAGAATTTACTAGTGGAGTTCACTTGTGAAAAGCATAGTTTCCTAAGTAACCGCTTAGGAAATAGAATGGCAGGCTGACAATGAGAGACAGTGGCAGAGATTCAAACACAGGGTTATCCAATAACAAAAATAACAGCAGGTAATACACACCCAGTCTCTTGACCATCTTGCCTTTATTTTCAATGAATCACAGGCCTGTTCTATACAAAAACTGATTTTAAAGTCTCTTTGAATTTTTTGTTTTTCCTGAGCAATTATTATCCACTAGGCCTTTCTTTTTTTCCTTTCTTTCTCTTTCCTTTATTCTACTTTTTTTGTAATTCTATTCTCATATTTACAAATCAAGAGAAAAATGTCTCTGAAATCCTGGGTAAAAAAAAATCAAAAGCTAGTGAAGCAGCTTAGACAACCTGGAAGATACTGCTTACTGGCTTAATAAGGAAGTTAACCAAGTGGTCAAAAAAAAAAAAAAAAAAAAAAACAAGAACAAGAAAGAAAAGATATGACTGAACTACTTCTTGGAATCCTTTAGAGAAATCTTCACCATCATTCATCTATAGAAATGCCCTTTTGTAAAAGGCAGATTAAAATCATGCAGCACGTAACAGGTTAAATAAAAGGTTGCAATGCACAATCACAGGTCTCTCACTGATTTGATGACACTGGTCCACACGCATGCTTCCTCAGTCTTACACATAGACAGATCCCTCACACACATTAGTGGTGATTGACAGGGGGTGTCTTAAGTCTTTACATTTTATACTTTTCTAAGGACATGAGATTATTACTCAACTGAAAAGTCTAATGAAATTATAGGTATATGATCTATTAAGTAATATTTGTATTTTCTAAATATTTTAAGTAAGTAACAATGAAGTATTTAGATCATTCCAAGTATTCACTGATAGGAACTAGTTTACAGGATATGGGTTAGGTGTATGCTCTAGTGCCCCTCTGTGCTAATTGCTTTCTTGCCCTTTCTGCACCTGTCATTTGTCTAATGAATTTCTCTCCACTGAGCCACTGTTTGGGACATAAGCCTGACTTTTAATTACCTTGTATATACAGCAACTACATATATTTGATGGTGCACTGGGGTCACCCTTTCACTCGCTATTACTTCTCTTTGCCTCTAGCCCCTCAGTAGAAGTTGAATTGGAATAGCTGTAATTAAAGCCTTCAGTTCCTTATTTGTTGATTAATTGGGGGTGTGAAATAGGAAATCACTACAAGGTATATTAATAAGTCTTAAATTCATGTCTTGAATTAGAAGGACATCGTTGTTCTATAACAATGAATCTAGGAACAGGAACCACATGTGTATCCATCCTAAGTTCCATCAATTATTTACAAATACATTCAGAGATTAGGAATCCGGGGCTGGAGAGAAGACAAAGCAGTTAAGACACTGAGGAAGCAGGTCCAACTCTGAGCACTGACATGGCGGCTCACAACCATCTGTAACTTCAGTTTCAGGGACTCCAATGCCCTCTTCTGGCCTCTACCACCATGATGCAGGTGGTGCCAGAGACACACATGCAGACAAACACCCATTCACACAAAATAAAATAAAACTGAAAAATGACTGTAGGATTCTGCAGACAAGGTGGGGCCTTAGACCTCATTTTTGCAATTGTGCCAAGTAATTGCAAAGTAGGTATCCCAAGAACTGCCTAGTCCTTTGTCTAAAGAGCTCGTACCCAGTATGGTAAACTGTGAGTGTGTCGGAAATGTTTCATGGAATAGGGAGGAGCTCATGAGTTTGAAACTGTGCACTTATTTCATTTCCTGCATAACTCACTGCAAACTAATAGTATGTAAAGAGCCTCCCTATACAAATGAAAACACAGTGCCGCTCCAGCCAATTCCATACAGCTGGGTTTTAACAAATCATGGGAAGCCAATGCAACATACCATGTCCAAATAATGCTCCCATGGGGACCCAGGAAGCTTAACAGAAGATGGAGCAGAAAGGATGTTAGAACCATGGGAGGGGTGGAGAGCTGCGGAATACCTAGGCTTCTGGGAATGACATGCCGATTGCAGCCTGAACTCAAAGCAGCTCTGACTACCTACACAGGTCTTGCACAAGACTGGTCCTAACCCAAATCCTGAGAGCAGTGGGAAGAGGCACACAAAGGCCCACTTTTCAGGAGAACCTCTGTTGAGTCGATGGTGTGGGGAGAGAACATTTCTTCAGGTGGACAACAAATAGGAAAGTAAATATCGCTTCCCTGTGTTTCTTTAAGCAATACTAATAACACTCACTGGGAAAAAAGTAAGCGGGGAGTAGATGGAGGCCTAATTGGACAAATGAAGAGGACCACTGGGAGTAGGAAGGAAACGAGGAAAGATAACTGTAGTACCTATGACCAGAATACACAGTACACATATGACAATGTTATAATGAACTCCATTACTGTGCATAATTAATATATGCTAATATAAATATGCCTTACGGTTTGTTTTTAATTGGAGATAAGGCGTGTATACAGCTAACTCAGTTCATATAAAGGCATTATGTGATCTTAATTCAATCTCATGTCCTTATTCAAACCAAACCAAACCAAACCAAACCAAACCAAACAAAAATCCAGATGTACAAAGAATTTTAACTGTGTGTACATGTTCAGATAGAGCAGCCAAGCAGCTGTGACACAGGAAGAGGCAATGGAGGAAACTGAGCATGAATGAGTATGGATATTGGGATTCAAGGCCAACAACTTCCACGGAAATAAACTGCTATTGTTTAAGGTGCCCAGCCTTTTGCTTCTTTGTTATAGCAGTCCTAGAAATGCATCCACATCAACTGTATCTACATTTTAACATCCTGCATAGCTTTTGTCTTTTCATACTCAGCAAATACGGACAAATGCTGGACAAATGTGGACAAATGCTGCAGAATAGACATCTCCAAGACTATAAAAGTTACTCCCTTCCCCTAAATTCCTACACATATTTAAATAAATCATCAAGAACAAAACATTTAAAAATAGTAATACACTTTAAATATCCATGAAATTAGATGTAATTGTTACTGGTTGAAGAGTAGGGAAACATGACTCTCAAAATCAAACCTTACCTTTGTTTTGGGTTCAAGAATTTTTACTCCATAAATTGATATTTGCAATTCAACTTTAGGAATCTTCTGACCTTCAGATTTTTTGATGTGTCTTGCAAACTACAAAAGGCATAGAAATGTATAAAATTATGATTTCATTATTGTGGCAAATGAACATTGGAGTTTGTGTCCCTAGCAAACAGGTACTGTCCATTACAAAGCATTTCATAGAAACAGTTTTGCTTGGTAACCATCTCTGTTTGCCCCCATAATTCAGACTCTTCATTAACTATTTTTTATCTTTCTTTTGGTTTTTGTTGATTTGCTTGGCCTTTAATTTTGAGGCAGGCTCTTTTTTCTATATTTCATGCTAGCCCAGAAATCATTACGTAGCTCCAGGCTGGGCTAAAATTGTTGACAATACACTGCTTTAGCCTCACAAGTGCTGTGATTGCAGGGATGAGCCACCAAGCCTAGCCAAACTTCAATTTTTTTTTTAATAGCTTGACACGGTATTTAAAAGGCCAGATGCACCAGTCAGTAAGAAAAGTAATAGGCAGAGATTAATTTACTTTGAGATCATTTTATTTTAATATGCTTTCAGAATTTACTGTTTACCTGATATTGAGTGTGCAATGTTGCCACAGCTCAACACCTACCTAGTTGCCACTGTTCTATCAGGCAAACCAAGAAAGATGGCACTGACAGATATCTCTTAACAAAAGCTAAGAGCTTGAGCTACGTTCATAGCTGCATTTGCTAGACTTTCCATGCATTTAGAGCCTAAGTGCACATCTGTTCCTGTCTGTGTGAAGTTTAAAAGGAGATCAGAGAGGATCTGCTCTCGGGCAGAGGATATTTCTGCCAATCTCCCCCAGCTTCACCAGATTTAGTGAGAAAACATTATAAGGCTATGTTTCTAAACTTCTAACAATACATACAAATGTTTACCTACACATACAACATCCACGTGCTGTTAGGATAAGTTTGTGCTGGGCAATATTTTGTAACCCTTTTTAGTTTAATTGCTCTGTCCCTGAATCCACATTTCACTGTCTGTCCGATCTGTCTGGCAACCTACTCTGCTCCCTGTTTTCTTTCTTAGCTCCTTCCCCCCTGAATTCACAGTTCACTGGGTGTCTGATTTCTGTCTGGCAACAGCTCAGACTCAGTTTTCCTTCTTAGCTCCTTCCCTCCATAAGTCTTTTTAAGAGATGAAAAAGAAGGAAACTTTTAAAGTAGAATCTCTCTCCCCCTCCCAGGACTTCTACAACTCATTTTCAGCATATGGAAAGTCCTCTGAACTTGGTTCAAATGGATCAGATGTGAGGTCGGGCGGGCCTCCAAGACTCTTGTCCTATTTATTTGCATTGTGCAAGTTACTCTAATTTAGGGCAGATGTGAGCATGCGTGGTATGGTTGGTGCTGGGGCAGAATGTTCAAAGCCTTCTTACTTTATGCGTTTGCACACCACAGAGAGGAACATAATTAATGCCTACAGGAGTGCCTTGAAGTGTCTGAAATCTCAGCTGATGCCATTTGTTTTATTCCATTTTGGGTGGCATAATTTTTCAGCCTGGTCTTTCCTGCATTCCTATGAACATAAGCTGCTTAATTATTTTTTCTTTTGTATCTAGAAGTCTCACAGTGTGCACATGACATCTAACATGTGCCAAGTACTTCTATGTCTTTAAGAAATGTTTTGTTTCCATGCAAACCAAAAATTATTCCTGATCTCTCTCAAAGAATGTGTACTATTGTTCTTTCCAAACGTACTATCCTTTCGACTTAGCATAATTAAGTAATTTTGAGGTTTATTTTTGAAGACTTAACAAAACCTTCAGTTGCTCTGCACCTACAGAGGCCACCTGAGAAAAGCCACCCTGCCCTGGTGGCAGGGCCATGCTAGGCTGACTTCCCCATAGTCTGTTTTTCACAAAAACACAGTGTCTTCCAAGGCCTTTTCACCATCTGGGAACAGAAGTTTCTGTGACCTCTGACAAGAATTGTGTAACTCTGCGTTTTACAAAAATACAGCCAGTGTTTGCTTTAAAACAGCCAGTAATGTTAAACTTCCTGTTTAGAAAAAAAAAAAAAGAATGGAATAAATGAAGAAAGGAAAGACAGAGGGTTGATATTTTACACACACACACACACACACACACACACACACACACACACACACACAGGGGTGAGGAGGGAAAGGTAGAAAGGGGAGTTCCAAGAGGATGATCAGATGAGAAAGACTTAAACTGTGCTATGAGAACCTTGAGTTCTCACCCAACCCACACTCTCTGTGCGCCTCAATCATGAAATACGCCTTCTCTTGCAAACTGGGGGCTGAGCTTGCACCCATGTGCTCAGGCCCTCTTCCTATAACCTTTGAAAAGGTTTTCCATTTGTGTTTCATGCAAAACAAGGCTTGTGACAGGATTGCTGAAAATACATTGCAAAATTCTTGTGTCTAGGGTTAGACTCACTCAGTTTATAGTTTCAACTTTTTGATAATCACCGTCTCTGCTTTTCTTCTAAAAGTCAAGCTTGCTTCTCAAAAGACTTTGCATGCTCTCCTATTAACTCTCCTGGATTTTCTTACTTTTCAACTTTTTTTTTTCTTTTAAGAAAGGGTTTCTCTTTGTAGCCCTGGCTGTCCTGGAACTCACTTTGTAGAGCAGGCTGGCCTCAAACTCAGAGGTCTACCTGCCTCTTCCTCCTGAGGGCTGGGATTAAAGGTGTGACCACCACCACCACCTGGCTACTTGCAGACTTAACTGTGTTTGGACATACTTCTAATACAGAGAGTACGGACAGCGCATGACCCGATGCTCACTCATCCTTGGCTATATCCTGTTTCTTATTTATTTTAATGTAAATGCTTGAACAGCCTTGTTTGCAAATTTCTTCCAGTTTTTGTTGTGGATTTCTTCCTTGCTAGACCTACATAGATAAAATGATCTATCATTGATATTTGAATATAACAATTTAACCCAATGAAAAGTTTCCAAGGATGTGAAACATAAACAGTCTATACACTAACATAATACAGCATTAAAACCCAATCTCTGTACTCATAAAATAATGAAGAAAATGAAGTATTATTTGAAATTATAAAGTCAGTTAAGCATGTCTTTACTATATTTGAAAGTTTTACTATAATGAAAATTAGAATTTATTTTATTTGACATTTTCTATATATCTCTTAAAGAACATTTTGAAAACCGAAATATAATTACATTATTAATGGAATATATGTTAGGGGGTAAGAAAATTAATCTATTGTTTTGGCTCTCTTATTTGGCACTGCTACACTATTTTGTGTTTATATGTATAGTTTCTTTTATTGAAAATAGATCATTCTCTCATGCACTGTATCATATTTACAGTTTTCCCTCCTTCTAATCTTCCCAGTTCTTCCACACCTCCCTTCCACTCAAGATCCATTCTCTTTCCTTCTCTCATTAGAAAAGAACCAGCTTCAAAGAGATAATAATCAAACACGACAAAATAAAAAATAATAAGAAAGTAAAAACTATCAGTGGAATTGAGCATAGCAACCCAATAGGAGGAAGAGAGTCCCAAAAACAGGCATAAGAGTCAGAGATCCACTCAGTCTCACAGTGAAGGGTCCTATAAAAATACCAGGCTAATAGCTATAATATGTATGCAGAAGACCGGGTGTGGACCCATGTAGGCCCTCGTGCTTGCTGCTTCAGTCTCTGAGCTCATACATGCCTTGCTTAGTTAATGCAGAAGACCTTGTTCCCCTGGTGTCCTCTATGCCTCTACCTCTTAAAATCTTTTGCCTCCTCCTCCAAGGGATCTCCTGAGCTCTGAGGGGAGAGATTTGATGGAGATCTTCAACTTAGACTTTCTCTCCATGTAATACCTGATGTGGGTCTCTGCATCTGCTCCACTCTGCTGCTGGTACAAGCCTTTCTGATGATAATTGGATAAGGCACTGATCATATATATATATCACATCACAGTGGTTGGTTTTACCCTAGGTCTCTGGGCTATCTCGTCTTGGTCCTTGGTTACCCAAGCAGTTTCATATATGGGTTCCTTCTTATTGAGTGCACCATAAGTCAAATCAGCCATTGGTTGGCTATTCCCACAAGTTCTATGCCATCATTTTCTTAGCATATTTTGAATACAGGAGATTGTAGGTTTTGTGGCTGTGTTGGTATAAACCTTTCTCTTTCAGTGGCTTACAGAGTACCTTCCCTGACTAAAAAGACTAGACTCTAGGGGTAAGGAGGGCTCCATGTAGGTACCAGTTTGACATTTCCAAGTTCAATGAGCAGTGTGGGTGTTGTCTTTAGCGTGGGGTTCTATTGTCAGTTTGTGGACAGCAACCCTGCAACAGCCTGGATTATATGGGGATTTCATGGGATGGCCCCTCTCCCCCTTGGCCAACAACTCAATTAAATGCAACCCATTCTAGCCTGGCCACAAGAGATGGCTAGCTGAGGCTATGTGTATCCCAGTACTAGGAGTCTATGTTATGATTACCTTCACAGATTCCAGGAAGTTTCTTTTCTCTGCAGAAGGTTTCCACAGCACCCTCCAAATATCCCCCAATTCCAGCTTCTCTCCTTCCAGTCTTTCCCTCCACTCCCTGCTGCTCCCATGCCACCTGATCCCCTGCTCCTGTCCCTACCTGCCACCATAAAATCTAATCTATTTCCCCCTTCTAGGAAGATCCCTGTGCTCACCCCTAAGCCCCTCCTCTTTTCCTAACCTCTTTGGGTCTATGGATTGTAACTTGGTTATTATTTATTTAATGGATAATATTTAACCATAAGTGAGTACATATCATATCTGCCTTTCTAGGTCTGGGTTCCCCCACTCAGGATTATCATTTTTCTAATTCTATCCGTTCGCTTGCTAATTTCAAGATGTCACTGTTTTAAACAGCTGAGTAATACTCCACATTATTTTTATCTATTCTTCAGTTGAGGGACATTTAGGTTGTTTCCAGTCTCTGGCAATTATAAATAAAGCTACAGTGAACATAGTTGAGTAAGTGTCCTTGTGGCAGGATAGGGCATCCTTTGGGTATATGTACATAGCTAAGTCTTGGTTGATTGATTGATTTAGGTAGACTGATTCCCAACATTCTTTGGAACTACCAAATTGATTTCCATAGTGGCTTCACAAGTTTGCACTCCTACAAGCGATGGAAAAGGGTTCTGCTTGCTCCACATTATAGACAGCAAGAGCTGTCACTGTGTTATTGATCTTAGCCACTGTAACAGAAGACGGAGTTATTTTTGATTTGCATTTCCCTGATGGCTCAAAATGTTGAACATTTATTTAAATGTTTCTCAGCCACTTGAGATTCCTCTATTGAGAAATCTTTGTTTAGATTTATACCCCATTTTTTAATTGAATTATTTGGGGTTTTTTTTGATATCTCTATTGAATGTGGAGTTAGAAAAAAATTATTTTCCCATTCTGTAAACTGTTATAAACTCATTGATAGTTGCCTTTGCCTTACAGAAGCTTTGGAGTTTCATGAGATCTCATTTATTAACTGTAGGTCTTAGTGACTATGCTATCAATGTTCTACTCAGAAAGTCATCTCCTGTGGCAATGCATTCAAGGGTATTCCCCACTTTCTCTTCTATCAGGTTCAGTGTATATGGTTTTATGTTGAGGTATTTTGATCCACTTGGACTTGAGTTTTGTGCAGAGTAATATATATATAAATCTATTTTAATTATTCTACATGCAAACACCTAGTTAGACCAGCACCATTGTTGAAGATGTTGCCTTTTTTTTTCAGTGTGTATTTCTGGCTTCCTTATTAAAAAAAAAAAAAAATCAGGTGTCCATAGGTGTGTAGATTTATGTCTAGTACTACAATTTGATTCCATTCATGAATGTGTCTCTTTCAAAGCAATAGCATGTAGTTTTTATTTTTATAGTTGTGTAACACAACTTTAAATGAGAGGTGGTGATGCATCCAGTAGTTCTTTTATTATTTAGTATTGTTTGCCATCCTGTTGTGTGTTTTGTTTCTTCTTGTTGTTATATGCTTGTATGTTCATTTATGTTTCTCCATATGAAGTTGAGAATTGTCCTTTCCAGGTCTGTAAAAAAAAAAAATGTGTGGGAATTTTGATAGGAATTGCACTGGATCTGTAGATTGCTTTTGGTAGGATGGCCACTTTTACTTGTTTTATTTGTTTGTCTGTTGGGCTTTTTTGTTTTGTTTTGGTGTTTTTGTTTTTGTTTTGAGACAGGGTTTCTCTGTGTAGCCTTGACTTCCTGGACTCACTTTGTAGTCGAGGCTGGTTTGAACTCACAGAGATCTATGTGCCTCTGCCTCCCAGAGTGCTGGGATCACACGTGTGTGCTACCACACGCAGCTCTCATTTTTACTATGTTAATCCCACTGATCCATGAGCATTTCCATCTTCTGATACCTTCTTCCACTTCTTTCTTCAAAGATTTGAAGTTTTTATCATTTGGTCTTTCATTTGCTTAGAGTTGCTCCAAGTTATTTTATACTATTTAAGGCTACTGTAAAAGGTGTTGTTTCGCTGATTTATTCCTCAGTCTGTTTGACCTTTGTATATAAAAGAGTTAATAATTTTTTTTAATTATCTTGTATCCAACCACTTTGCTGAAGGTATTTATCAACTGTAGGAGTTCCCTGGTGGGATTTTTAAGGGTCATTTATGTATACTACCATATAATCAGCAAATTATTTGGCACTCCTACACTACTTTGTATTTCTCCTACTTAAGTTGCTAAATAATTCCTAATAATCATGATGTTTATATATAATTAAGTTCTAAATAATTGGTCAGTTGGAGAAAAAAAGCCTGTAAAGAAAATAAACAGAATTATCCTGCACCGTATGACATTCAGTGAAGACCTAAGTTGACTAACATGTCTGGACAGGGACTCCCAAAGGCTATGTTACGTTGAAGCAGCTTCATGGATTGAAACTGAGCTTCTTTGGCTAGGGCCTTTTAAATTGGAGCCAGAAGATGTTGTTCTTGTTTATGTTCTTGTTCATTATGAGTTAATAGCAATGCTCCTGTGTGTATTAATATCGAGGCATAACAAATTGTGAACACACATTGAGTCCTGGTATTTGTACTGAGCATACTGAAACAGACCTTATCTAAAAATGAAACATCATGATAACAGTGCTGAGTTTTATAGTGTCACATTTTTAGATACTTCCTGATTTCTTAAACATCAAGCTAAAGCATAATTAAGGAATTAAAAAATATGACATGTTGTTTTGGCAAACACAGGATATGAAAGTATTTTAATTCTTGCACAAATTATTACATTAAAAGTCATATGAATTCTCTGTGGTCATAAAACAGTGAACAACCAAGTCTTTAGATTCATCTTGTTAAAACCCAAGCAGATGTCATAAAGTACATGGGTATGAAAATATCATTACTGAAGATTCTTTAAGATTTCCACCACTCTGCATCATGCTTACATTTTTAATTTTTATGTAATTTCAAAGCATTGAAAATGTAGACTTTGAAAGGGGAGTAAGTATATATTTTTATTTACATGAGGAAATAATCTGAGTACAACACTACAGTATATGTACTAAAAGGGTCAAGATGTATGTGTTTGAGAAAAATATTCAGAAAATGAAAATGAGGTCATGGATAGTTGGTAGTTTCTCTTTCTAGTGGAGCCACAGCGCCACCATCTGGTCATAGCTATATGATAGCAAAATTACGAGTAAGTGTAAATATTGATATATTTTGCACAATAGCTTCTTATCTCAGATACAACATAAAAGAAACAGTACAGGAAACTTAAATAAAAACATTGTCTTACTCATGTTTACAAATGCAAGAGTCTCTCTTTCTCTATATATACACTTCCCAGAGAAGCAAAGTTTTCAAGCAATAGACTTTATTTATTAAATGCATGTCAATTGTGAAAAATACACATTTAATAAAAGCTACTGTCCACTAAGTATACAATTTAACTGTTTTGTTATTGTCCATTATATTCTCCAATAAGAGTTTACTTCTAAGCAGAAATTATATAGAAATGCCATATAAAACCTCACATAATGCTAGTCACAGTTTTAGAAGGCATTTAACTTTAAATATATCTTTAACATAGTCATAATATAACTGACTCATTTTAGTTCCTATTTGAAATATTGAATGAAGAATTCCCAAGGTATAAAGAAATATTGCCAACACCCATTCTTTTGTTTTATTTTAATTTTTTAAGATACATTCTGGTTGGGCTAAAGTCAGAATTTGTATCACTTTGAAAACAATTAAATAGAGTCATAATTTAAGTGCTATCACAAACTACAAAGTCTTAAATAAAACCCTCTGCTAGTCATTAGAAATGTTTCTTAGACAAAGGGAGACTCAACTATTACATAATGAATAAGGCAAAGAAATGGCTGGTGAGTGCATTCCTCCAAAATCTGAGTGATAATATCTTGGGACGCCACAGAATATTTCGTAATGGGATTTCTGTCAAATAACCACAAAAGTGAACTATTAAAGCACTACCTAGTTTATTTCTTCATTCATAATACAACTCTCATTCTGATCTTTTCCCTCAATTTAAACTTTTCACATTGACCCTCTCAAAATACACTAGTAATTCTGTGATTCTTCCTGGCAGAAAAACCACAGGGCCTGATATCCTATGGAATGAGCACATTATCCAGAAGTCCAAATCACAGAAAGGTTGTGCCCTATCCACCAAACTGTGAGAGCAGCCACAAGAGTAAAAGCTAACTTCACAGATAAAGTGGTAGTCTGCAGATCCTCTTCTGTCATGAAAATGGCATCCTCTTGAAGTTTACCTAACTGTAAAATCTCAGCGAGGCTGCCTTTTGAGAGGTGAGTTATTGCATAAGCACGCTTATGGCATGTAGTGTTAAGATTTTCTCAGGAAACTTGTTTTTGAGGTTACATAGATTTTTTGGGGGGAATAAATACATTGTTTAATCAATATTTCTTTCTGCTCTTTTAATCCCACAAGCTCCCCTAGAATTGTTCATTCAAATGGACAATTGGGATTTCCTTAATATGTAACAGCACTACAAAATTCAGCTTTGGAATGAACTCTAACCATATTTTTAACTGGTAGGTATGAAATCATAATTGTCAGCGATTTGAATGATACTACTAATAGTTTTAAGTTAGAGCATGGGTTCACACTGTGTAAGAAATACAAAAGCAGATCACTGAATTTAAACACTGTTAAGTTCTGACTTAAAAGCTTTTAGTAACTGTAAGAAATTATACTTTAGAAAAATAAAGTATATACAACAAGTTAATTCTATGTATATGTTTATAATTCAAATTTTCTCCTCAAACATGTGGTATTTATTTAACTGTAATTTAAGGGGAGTGAAGCTATAATGATCATGGTTATACATGTTATGGCTTCCATCAATCTGTTGATGACATGAGAGCAGTACACTAGCCATTTATTTGAAAGGTTCTTACCTTCAGCTTCCTGACAGCGTCTCTCACAACTTCTGTTCCCTTTGGTTGCTCCACTTCTGTACTGCCAAGAAACTGAACATGAGCATCCATGAGACACAGGTTTACCCCATCAATGAACCTGGAGCTGCTACTCTTCGTACAGGAAAGTAAAGCAGAAATTCAAATCCAAATCCCAATTACGGAGAGCAACCATTACTCAATTTGTGTATAACACACGAAAATACATCATTTGACGATTGATAATTCCTATTATTCAGAAGTTTATTTTAGAAAAAAAATATTTTACCTAAATTTTTATTTGCAGATTCTTACTGAAAAGAAAACTGAAGCTATTTCACTGTCCCCAAAGAGATAAACTTAATCTCAACAGCTGAAGGCTATCTAATGCTAACTCAGAGTTACTGTTTTTCTGAACACAATGCCTTCGTGTTGTCATTAGTCACGTTCTCAAGGCTGTAATATACTCAGCTTGATGTGAATTACTGAAAGTTTAAACTCAAAGGATATACATCCTTTAGTCAGTTCTTTAGTCAGTTACCAGTCATATTTCACATGTCTGGAGCAGAGCCAGGATATCTGTACATATTAGAGCTCCAGAACTGACTTAAAGGTGCCACCAGGCTTGAAAGCACCATGTCAGATCGTGTAAAGGATAAAAGGTTGAAAAAGAAAAGATTTAACAGCAAGGAGCTTTTAGCTCAGACTTAATCCACAGGGTAGACTCCTTTTCTCAACTTCTCTGAAATTTTCAAAGCCACTAACAGAGTCACCACTAAGCTACCATTAGCAAGAAGAATGGTCAAAAAGAATTTTTTGTGTGTAAACAAAACTTGAGCTAGAAATCATGCCAACACCAAGCAGTAACAATAATTGATAATAATTTTGAAGAGTAGTAGTCATACTTTGGCAGAGTTGCCATAAATCACAAGTATTATACATCCATATGGGAAGATTATTGAAGAACTCTAGAACATTCTGAATAAATTGATACTCATCAGTACTCCAGGCCCCTTTTAATGCTACTGTTCATGGGTGTTATGTTTAAGTAAATCAATAGAATTTTACTAAAAAGACATCTTAATGTGGAACCTGCTACTTACCTCATCTTTACATTACATAATTAAGAAATGGATTTAGGGCTTGTAATCCCTGCACTAGGAAGAATGAGGTAGAAATCAGAGGCCAACCGATAGAATGAGTTCAAGACTAGCATAGGCTACAAAGCAGAGCAACACACACACACACACACACACACACACACACACACACACACACACA